TTCCATACAAATTTTTGGATAGTTTGTTCTAGTTTTGAGAAGTATGCTGGTGCAATTTTGATTGGAATTGCATTGAATGTGTAGAATGCTTTGGGTAGTAATGACATCTTAACTATATTTATTCTTCCTATCCATGAGCATGGAATGTTTTTCCATTTCTTTGTGTCTTCTTCAATTTCCTTCATAAGTTTTCTATAGCCTTTAAGAATTTTGATAAATCTATTTTCCCTCTGCTCTCTAAATGGAACAACAAATCCTGGATAATACAACATAGTTTATTGAGTATTTTAAGCCCACTGTTGAGACCTACCGCTTAGAAAAAAAGATTCCTTTCAAAATATGATGGCTCATTAACAAAGAACTTGGTCCATCCAAGAGCTCTGATGGCTATGTACAACAAGATTAATGTTGTTTTCATGCTTGCTAACACATTCTTGCAGAATAATAACTCGAGTGCCCTTCAGTGTTTAGCTGATTCAAAGAATGAAGAGGTAGACACAGAATGAAATGAGCAGTAGGCAAAAGTTTAGCAGAATATAAGATCAGAAAGTAAGAACAGTATGAAAGCTCTCTTTATAGAGACGGGGCATCTGAAAGTGAATACCCCTGACTATAAGCAAGGAACTTTATTTATAAAGGGTTTTGGTCTGTTCCTCCTCTTCTTTTTGTTTCTTTTTAGGGTGTTTTTTTTTTTTTTTTTTAATTGGCTTGATACCCGTAGGGGCTGAGTTGTTTATTCCTGAGAGGAACATGAAGGGAGTAGATGGTATTAATTACATTCTTAAGAAAAACTTTATGCCTGAGCGAGTTTTTCTCCTGGTCAGATGTTTCCAGCATTGTTTTAAAATATGTAGCTTTACTCCCAGGGACCTTTAAGCCCTAGCCTCTCCCTTTCTACACACTGAATCCTATCTTTACCTATCAAACATCTTTTCTGCAGTTCATGGATCCACAAGGAATTTTGACTTTCAAGTCTTATTATTTAAGAAATGCATTTTGTCAAACTATACCTGCCATAGACAATGATTCCCTTGATGGATGTGGGCAAAGTAATTTGAAAACATTCGGGAAAGGATCATCTCAAGATGCCATTGGGAATAGGAAGAGTTCAAAACATCAACATTAACAGGAGTTTGGAGGAAGTTGATTTCAACCCTCATGAATGAATTTCATGAAGACTTCAGTGGAGGAAGTAACTGCAGATGTAATAGAAAAGCAAGAGAACTAGAATTAGAGGAGGACTCTGAAGAAGTGATCAATGGCTGCAATCTCATAATAAAACTTTAACAGAGGAGTTGCTTCTTATGGATGGGCAAAGAAAATGAGTAGTTCTTGAGATGCAATCTACTTCTAACAAAGATGCTGTGAAGATTGTTGAAATGACAACAAAGGATTTAGATATTACATAAATTTAGCTGATAAAGCAGCAACAAATTTTGATAGGATTGACTCCAGTTCTCAAAGAACTTCTACTGTGGATAAAATGCTATCAAATATACATTTAGAGTAAATTCAAGGACCTACAATGAGAGGACCTGGAGGCTCAGGAGATAGCAGAGATGGGAGGAAGAAGTTGTTAGTGGGAAGGACATCAGTGCTTCTCATGAAGGCGGGGAACACTGGATGAGTAGTTTTGAGAGTGAAGATGGTGAGTTAAATTCTGAGTATGATCAGTTTGAGGGGACTCTGGGATAGATGTCCAGTAAGAAGTCTTGCCAACATTCTTGGGAGATACAGAAGTGGCTGTCACCAACATTTATGAAGAGTTGGAACCATGAAAGTACATGGAGTCCAGGAGTGAGTGTACATAGAGCAAGAGGTAATGTGGGTTGAAGTGAGAATCTGGGAGAACCCGAGTATTTAAGAGGAGGATCGATAGAACCCACGAAAGAAGCAGAGATGGACTATTCAGAGAGTTATGAGAACCAGGAGAGCACAGTGTCATGTAATCTAAAGGAGTATAGAGTTTTAAGAAAAAGGGAATAATCCACATTGTCAAATGTACAGAAAAGACCTAATAGAAGAAAATCAAAAAATGTCCTGTGCTCCTGATCATTATAAAGTTATTAATAAACTTAGCAAGAAAAATTGTGGAGGCGAAAGCCAGGCTGGTCTAGAAATGGATGAGAGGTAAAGAGCAGGAGGCAGCAAGTATAGATACTGTCTTGAAAATGTTGATGAGAGCAGGGGAGAGATAGGATACAATTAGAGGTGGGGGCAAAAGGAGCTTTGTGGGTTTTTTTTTTAATTTTTATTTTTGGAACAAAAATACCACATGTATATAGGTTGAAGAGAAGGTAGCAGTAGTAGGGAAAGGTTAAAGATGCAGGAGAGACGCAGGGTGGTGTGTCTGCGCATGTGTGTGTATCAAGAACACTTATGAATGGGGTTAGCTTTGGACAAGGAGGGGAGACCTCTGGTTAGTCTCTGTATTTGTATATCAGTTGTGGTTGGTGGGGCAGGAGGTCAAGGGCCATTGTGCTTAGTAGGTGGCCTTACTTTTCTCAGTGAAGTGAGGGGTGAGATGAAAGAGCTAAGAGAGAGAAAGGTGGGTAAAATAGTAAAGATTTGGACTAGACATTGAGAGGAAAGGGAGAGGGAGCTATCTGAGGCCAGTGGATAAACTAACTGGTGGTAGGTAGTGAGAGTCCAGCTGAATGAGGTTGGCAACCCTGAATCTGTGGCAGTGCCAGTCTTTGTGATTCTGTGTTTATCTCAAAGATTCATCTGTGATCCACATGTAGATTATAGCCTCATCCAGAGACAAGATTTTCCTCTGTGGGCACAGTAGAAGAACATGGCTACATAGGAATTGGTGTTGGGGGAAGGTCAGTTAAGAAAATCCAACACGTGGTCCAGGACACGGAAAAGGAAGAGGGCAGAATGGTAAACTATGAGGAAAAAGAGGGGACAAGGAATTGTAGGTCTCTTAACAGGTCACTAAGAAGAGTGAGTGGGGGTAAGAGAATGGAAGAGCTGAAAGGATAAGGGCAAATTAACGCCACTGTACACCTATAACCTCCAGACTCAACTGGGCCATCAACACTGTGCAGCCATCTGACAATGAGATAGGTCACTCTTCAACTCTCCAGTTATTATTCCTTGAGCTTTGACCAGTTCCCCACTCTTATACCCCATTCTCAGGGGATGACCTCACTTTATAATTTAAAGAGTAAATGGATCCCATCAAATGAGAACTCCTAGACCTACAAACGGTCCTGCATTCACCCTCTTATTTCAAGTGTCTCACATTCCCTCTAAGCGGAACACTTTTACCTGTTCTCTGAAACCCATACTCCTCAGCCTTTACCTGGACCTTGCTGAATCAGTTATCTTCTTTTCTCCTGAATATCTTCAACCTCTTCCTCCCTCTCTGCTAGGTCTACTGTATCAGTTGAAATAAAAACAAATCTTTTAAAGAAAAGAAAAGCCCTCTTCACTTCCACAACTCTCTTCAGGAATCACTTTCTCTTTCATACTCTTCCCAGTTCAGCTTCTACAAAATTGTCTCTATTTTCTCTCTTCAAGTTTCTGCCTCTCTGTCACTCTTCAACACATTCACAAAGCTTATAGTTTACTGGAAGTTACACACAAGTCAAGTGGCAATTATAGAAAAGTGTGATGAACACTACAATAGCTGTTGTACTATTCTTTGTTCACACTTGTCATGTTGAACTATAGCTGCTATTTATCTGCCTATATCTGTATCTTCCAGACAGCAAGCCATTAGGGCAGAAATGCTATCATAGTTAGCACTGTCTCTTCAGATCTCAGCACACTGGATGGCATGTAAAAGATACCCACTGTTTACTCAATGATTAAATGAAAATATTTATGATCATATGCAAAACAAACATGTGTTTTATATCAGAAAACTTCTAAATTTTTTTCTAATGTTTCACTTATTTCTGAGAGAGAGACAGCATGAGCAGGGGAAGGTCAGAGAGAGAGAGGGAGACACAGAATCTGAAGCAGACTTCAGGCTCTAAGCTAGCTGTCAGCACAGAGCCTGACGCAGGGCTCGAAGCCATGAACCATGAGATCATGACCTGAGCTGAAGTCGGATGCCCAACGACTGAACTACCCAGGCGCCCCTCAGAAAACTTCTAAATTAAGGAATGTTTGAAACCTATGTTTACCAGTAGCATGTAGAAAAGGTCTTAAGAGTCACACTGAACTAATAAGTAAGTTGGTTTCATCAGTCACTGCGTGATATGATTAGAAGAAGGGGGCATCCTTTTGGAATTTAAGAGTACAGACTGAGGAAAAATCATAGGCATAAAGACATTCATACAAAGCTGGGAGTGAGGAGAAGGAAGAAGGTACTGAAAAGAACAATGGTAATGAGGAAGTATCAGAACCAGATATGTGTGCTGGTACTCATTTATACTAGACCTACTGGGGAGCTTGCAACCACTGCTCTAGGGTTGGTTATCATACCCTTTTTCCTCCAAGAGGTTTTTTTTTTTTTTAACATTTAATTAATTTTATGGAGAGAGAGAGTCAGAGTGTGAGCAGGGGAGGGACAAAGAGAGAGGGAGACACAGAATCTGAAGCAGGCTCCAGGCTCTGAGCCATCAGCACAGAGCCTGAGACAGGGCCCAAACCCACAAACTGTGAGATCATGACCTGAGCCAAAGTTGGACGCATAAGCGACTGAGCCACCCAGGCGCCCCACCTCCCAGAGTTTTAAATGTATTGTCTGAGGATTTTCTTTTTCTTTCCATAACTATATATTTTCAATTTCATAGAATGGCTGTTGAAACTATGATTTAGTCCAATTTGCACAGAATAAATCTGTTACATAAGATGTAATTATTTATTTTGCTGAAGGAAATCTTTAAGAAACCAAGATTATTACAGAATTGTCATTAGGTATTTAAAAATGCATTAAATATATTAATGGCTTTGTACATTTTATTTCACCAATATTAATTTATACATATTACTGTATAGATTAATTTAACAATATTTATTAAAAAGTACAGGACTAAAATTACCTGTTGATCTGAGTCTGCTTTTAATATAGATCTATCCGTAATCAGGACTGACCTGGAGATCTGCCTGTAATGCACGAAACAGTTAATCAGCTATTCAGTTTCTACAGATAAGTTTCATTTATAGTTACATAACTACCAGATGTCATGTTTTAAAGATTTAAGTCATGATCAAAGTGTCACTTCCTCAAACCAAGTCAAGTTCTCCTTTAATCTTTCCTTGGCTCATGAAAGAAGCTGCAGAGAAGCCTCAGATTATGCAAAGGAGTCAAAATTAGACTGGACTCCTCTACAACAAGACTCTATAAGAGTTGGATATATTGGATGTATTATTGGTTTGGTATACATTTCTGTCTAACGTGAAGGACACAGTCATACAGAACTGTCAACCTTCCCTTGGACAGAGGATGGAGGGGTGCCTTACCGGTATTGTACATGTGAGCATGTGTTCTCAGAAAAGTAACTGTCCTCCACAAGGAAATGCTTAGAAATTATTCTCTGACCAAACTGATCTATGATTGCTTTACATCTACAAAGAAGATAAACACAGCAAAAAAAGTTCTCATTAATGATTACAGAATTGAAAAAATAATCAGCTATAATTGTGAATCTAATAAACCTTTCAAAATAGTATACAATTTCACATTTTGACATAAAATTGACACTAAATTAAAGAACATATATTCTTGTTGCTATTCTGAAGTCTTTAAACTATAATAAGCATGGAATAGAATTTAAATATTTATTTTGAATGTTATTAATAAGAATAATGTTAGTATAAGTATTACAGTAAAAGTATAAGCGTTCTAATGTTTACAAACATAAAAGCTTTGTCTTGGACACTGGGAACTCCTCAGTCTGCCCAGGGTAGTCTCATTAATCACTTGAGCAAGCAAAAAAAAAAAAAAAAAAAAAAAGGAAAGAAAGAAACAAACAAAAGAAAGCCCTACACCCTAAACATTTGTTGAAAATATGGTAAATTCAGGGATGAAAAATAATTTAGTTTTTAAGAGACCACATGGAATTAGCTTAATGGTGATATAATTGTGGATATGTGTTTAACAAGTTGACTTTGATTGTTAAACTACTGTGTGGTTCCCTTTCTCCTGAAGATGCCATTAGAAGTGGGTAAACATTAATTAAATGTCCTTAGAAATTCAAAAACAAAAAAAGAAAGAAAGAAACATAAAAGCTTTTCCTTTGTTTAGAAAACAGACTTTTTTTTTCTTAATGGATCTAAGAAAAGAGGAAAGAAAAGATAATTAAATATCTTATTATACCATTCAGTCTCTAAAAGCCACTAAAGGCTTTTTATTTTTCTATTAAGTGTTGCTTTATTTTTTTTTAAGAATAGCTATCTGGTCACACATGCGATAATGTTTTAAACCAACAAAAAAAGAGGGATAACACTTCTTTTAATATGTTTCCACTTTACTTCAAAGGATAATCACAGAAAGATTTCTTTCGAGTGCTATTTCTAAATAAGGAAAACACTTATGCATGGACATTATCAGGTCTCTGTCATCTGATATGTATTGGGACGATGAATCATATGGAACACTCCACTGACCTTCTTTCAATGTGGCTAGATAAAAGGATGAAAATCAGAATCCATCTCCTTGCAGTGCCACAAGTTATAAATGTACTTTATAAGGCTCATTATCCAAACTAATGCACTAAGGGCAACATCCTTGAAATGGACTTACAGCACTGACAAAGCCAGTATGCAATATTTCAGGAAAGATATGCAAATGCCTGCATGTTTGCCATATCTTTTTATTATTAAAATATCACAATTTACTTTTGTCACAGCTTCTCCTTTTGGAACCAGAATTATTAGAAATACATTTATAGGTTACTCCTCATAAAATGCAAGCAAATAATTTCAAACGTATACCATATTTTAAATATACTGATATACATTAAAATGTTACATTACTCTAAAAATAAGCCAAATAAGAGATATTTACCAGACATAAAGGCATTAAAAATAAAATGAAAAGCACCCAAGATCAACAGTGAGAGGAATTTAATGTGTATTTCCTAAAGGCAGATTATATGTTGATATTCTTTATAAATGGTATGTCACTGTTGTCAGGATAGACTATGATATCTCATGATGTTAGATATACATAATATATAATCAATTAGCCATACATTAGTACATACTGTAAATTATATTACATTATTATTTATGTGATTTTCCCCATCTCACCTCCAATTCCTTTCTCTTCCCCACTTATGTTTCTATGCATATTTCTTCATATTTCATTAAACTAGAGCTTTTGACTTATAAAATACATAAGTAAATAGATATAAGATATCTATATAAGATACAATACTTAGATACAGTATTTCCCAAAATAATTACTTAAAACCTGAAAAGACAGAAATCTACTGATCCATCATTAAACACTGATCCCTATTTGTCCTACAAGCACTGACAAGCCTTTTTCTTACCTTTAAGTCAGAAACTATAGAAGTCAAGAGGGAATAATCTGGGCAGAAAAAAAGAGAGTGTTATAATCTTCTATATCTTGACACGGCTTTGGGTTACACAGATTTATCATTTATCAAAACTCAGCTAATGAGCACTTAAGATTTGGGCACTTCACTGTATGTAAATTTTACATCAAAAAGAAAAAGCTATAAATAAATATTCAACTCTTATTAATGATAGGCATGCCAAGGTATTTAGGGCAAATTGTACTAATATGTGTAATTTACCATGAAATGCTTAAAAAGGTGAACAGTTGGATAGAGGGCTGCATATTTGGGTACAATTAACACTTTAATCTACTTGCTTAATCATGTTATACCTAAATTAACAATCTAGATTCTGGATATGCAAGTATTCATCCTGAAATTCTCTCAACGTTGGTGTAGATTTGAAAATTTTCATCGTAAAATACTGGAATGAAATTGGTGGGGGTGGGTGAATGGTATTACTATAAATCCTGGACTCTAGTCTAAGTTTTTGCAAAAGGCTCGCATTTAAATAAACCACACAATTAAACCTAGCCTTCAAGCTAGTAGAGGCTTCCTTGTTTTGTAGGCTTCCAAACACTAACAAGGCTGCTTTGGTGGTATGCTACACCCTTGGTGACAGGTAGAAGCTAGTTTCAGAAGTTGTGATATTAGAAAGAACAACTGGGACCACTCTAAGGGGAGATGTGGGGGATTAGGGAGTTCAACTCTGCAAGGATAATATCCCAATAAATGTGCCTATTTACGCTGAAGCTTCTAGATGAACCAGTGATTCTCAGAGGAGAAGAAGGAGTAGGAAGAGGAAGCAAATCAGAATCACACCTGGGGGACTTTTTCAAATTATAAGTACCCCTGGAGATTCTGATAAACTCCCAAATCCCAAGGAAGAATCACTATCGAGCATGACACTGCTACTGTTGTAGTTTTAGGCTGGGCTAGGTAGAGAAAAGTCAAGAGGTATTGCTACAATAAATATAATAATAGAGGTGCCTGAGTGGCTCAGTCAGTTGAGAGTCTAACTTCAGCTCAGGTCATGATCTCGCAGTTCACAGTTCAAGCCCCACATCGGGCTCACTGCTGTCAGCACAGAACCTGTTCTGGATCTTCTGTTCCTGACTCTATTTCTGCCCCTCCCCTGCTTGTGTGCTCTCTTTCTCTCTCAAAACAAAACATTTAAAATAATGATGATCAGAGCCTGGAGCCTGCTTCGGATTCTCTGTCTCCCTCTCTCTGTCCCTCCCCTGCTCACTCTCTCTCTCTCTCTCTCTAAAATAAATAAAAAACATTAAGAAAAATGATAATGATGATGATGATGATAAGTGATTTTTGCAGAAACTGATTGATGGTCATATATGCCCAGTCTGGTAGATGATGGTAACACAGCTCACCTGACAGTCTCACTATGAAGTACTAAGGCCCGAGCAAGGCTGTTCAAAGCAAAGCATGTTTAAGTAATGGATATAATTAGTTTTCCCCTCAGACACTTGACTTATTGTAAGATACTAGGCCCAATTAGGGGAACAATGAAGAAAGAAATATTGATTTGGGATCTAGACTTAGACTTTGTATTATAAAGATGAATATAAAAAATTAGATAACAAGTAATGGAAAACAGCAAAATGAAACAGTACTCCCAGAGACATTAAAACATCCTCACACATAAACCTGAGGAAGCCATTAAAGATTAACAGCATTCTGGATTTACTTGAGGGCCATGCTGAGCCTCATAAATAGTAAACTGAGATAGGAGTGCTCAATTACATAGACACCAGGACCAAGCTTGTCATTAGAATCATCATCATAAGGATCATCATTAAGAATCATGAAGCCAGACAGAACATTCCTAGAGCTGAGTTTTCTAAATAAACAAATCACAACAGTTATTCAGTTTTTTGTTCAATGACATGAGTCCACATACAAAATGATAAGGAAACGCGGTTCATGGGTTCGAGCCCCGCGTCGGGCTCTGTGCTGACTGCCAGCTCGGAACCTGGAGCCTATTTCAGAGTCTGTGTCTCCCTCTCTCTCTGACCCTCCCCTGCTCACGCTGTCTCTCTCTCTCTCTCCTAGAAATAAATAAAACGTTTAAAAAAATGATAAGGAAAAATGTTCAGCAAGATGAAAACTTTATCTAGAATTTGGTCCAGAAGAGAAATATAACATAACAGGTATCCAATCTCTATGATCTTCAGAATTAATATCCTAACTAATTATAGGATGAAATACAGAAATCACATGAAATAATAAAAAGAAAAATGCATTAATTAAGGAAACCAGAAGATCTCAATCATTGAAGAAAATAAAATAATTCTCTCTACTCACTATGCCCTTCCATGCTTCCTAAAACACATTAGTTCAAATTTTACCTCTTAAGGAAACCATTCCAAAATGCTTATCTTTCATCTTTCTTGGGTAAAAACCCATTCCAATAGTTTCAAACACCATTAACAGATAACTCCAAAATCTATGGTTCTTTCCTCTGACCAATCTCAAGCTTGTATCCATATTTTTTGAATGTCTAATATCTATTTCTTTCTGGATAGACTCCAAACCCTTTTTAAACCTACCATACCCCAAAATGCATTCATCATGACTCCTCACCTTTTTCCCCACTTGGAATACCAGTCTCATGTAATGACATGACTAGAAGTTAGCTTCCCTCACTTAGAAACTCTCTTCCCGTATCTAATCTGCTACTTATTTTTGATCCCAACTTATAAAGATATTTTTGAAACCAGTTGCTTTTCTCCATCTCTACTACACTGCCTTAGACTCCTATTAAGTCTGATAAGATAATGAACTGCTATCAAGTCAGTTGTTTATTTGTTTGATGTAAATGATGGCATAACAATCATGTGCTAAGCACTGTTCTAAGAGATAAGAATAAAAATATCTTATCCTTAAGGTAATTGTTCCCAATATAATGAAGGCAACTATAAGATAATGTCTAAGTCCAGGGATAAGAAATGAGAAGACATCATTACAGTACTAAGGGAAGATATCTAACTCAGCTTAGTGGGGAAGGGTGGAGTATCAGGTATG